GTGTGTGTGTTGTCAAGAAACCCCAAACTCTCTCCCTCATTCCATCTACAAGCCTCACAAACCATCCATAAAACAAAAGAAGTATAAACGGGCAATGTAATAGAAAATGCAAGGTTCCCCACGTTTGTGTGGTTGAGCGGGAAGTGCCAACACACCCGTCTGCCGCGGAAGCGGCACACTTGCACAGATATCTATATATCTATACATCGTCAAACATATCTGCGCGGTAAACCGTAGGCAGAGAGGGAGGACAACAAACGAGGGACTGTGACAAACTGTTTTGTCAGGGTTTCACCGACTCATCAGGAGGCTGAACCCTCAACAGTCTGCAGAATCCCCTAACTGATTACACTGTAAGTGACAATCTACCTTAACCCCGGCTGTGGTTAAGCATCAACGACTGCCTGACAATCGATACCTTGAGGTGGGCACCAACCACTGCCTTCAAGGTACCTGTGACGAAAATCAAAGCAGACTATCACTCACCCACACCAGATGGAAAACTCTACAGACTGTCAGTTCACACCCCATCAATATATCTGTTTGACGATATATAGCCTCCTGATGAATCGGTGAAACTCCGACAAAACAGTTTGTCACAGCCTCTTGTTTGTTGTCCTCTTCTCCCTCTCTGCCTACGGTTTACAGGGCAGCTCTGTTTGACTATAATATATATATAGTCAATATATATATCGTCACAAACAGAACTGCCCGGTAAACCGTAGGCAGAGAGAGAGAAGAGGACAACAAACGAGGGGCTGTGACAAACTGTTTCGTCGGAGTTTCACCGACTCGTCAGGAGGATATATATATCGTCAGATGAATATCAGAGCGCAAAAGCGAAATAAAACAAAAGGAAACAAAAAAGATATCAATTCATTTTTTATCTTCTTCCTTACAACTCCCCCTGTTCAGAACCTATATATATAGTCATATATACGAAATATATATACATGTATATCGTCAAACAGAGCTGCCCGGTAAACCGTAGGCAGAGAGGGAGAAGAGGACACCTGTTTGACAATATATATATTTATATATATATAGTATATACACATGTTTTTTCAATCTCAGGAAAAAAGGTAGAGGGAAGTGTCAAGTGCCCACTCGCCGTACAACTCCAGGCTGCTCCGCAAAATCACATAGCAGGCACAGACCCAAACATTCGGCCATACATTGATGAAGGACAGAAGGCAACATATTACATTGTATGGACCACAAAAAATAAATACACTGCAACACAGAAGGCACTTCCAACAAGAAAGCACCGACCAGAACCTCCAATGCTCCGAAAGAATTGGAAGAGTCCCTCTGAGTCGGCCCACAAAGCCACAAAATAACTCCACATAATCCCTACGCGGCACCAGGAGCACTACTGCTTCAAACACCATCGAAGTCCCCCATCTTCCATGTGCTCCAAAAGATCAGCCCATGGGAGTGACACCAACAGCAAAGACTCTCTGAGCCTCCTCGTGAAGATACCGTGGCCACGACTCCAAACAAACATTCCAGCCCCAAAACGCTGGTCGCCACCAACAGACCTTCATCAAGACGCAGCCCATGGTCTACCGCAGGACACAGAATTAGGCCATGTATGAATAAAAAACCACCAACACATCATCCACCACAAAGAAGAATAGCTCGCTAGTGTGTCTGTCACAGTGTGTGTATGTTTATTGCTTTTCCCATTCTCAAGTCCATTCAGTTTCCAACTCTTGTTGGTTGTTCCCTTCTTGCCTCTTCTGTTCTTTGTCTAGTTGCACTCACTCATTCACACTCACTTTGGCATGGCTCAGCCTCTAACTCAGCCTACCGATTCTTATTCTTACCCGGTCAACATGTTGAATAGAGAACTCTTCAAACTTCTGTACCAACCGCCGTGCCTCGTCACAAAGGCTCATCAAGTGGGGGCTGTTAACAGTCCATTCACCAAGCACCTGCAATTGTGCCACACAGAGCAAAGATTGGCACTGAAGTTCAGATGCGTGCACTCCAGGGGTCTACGTTAAAAAGTACTCAGCGATAGTCGAATGGAACGGAGTGGGAAAAGAAAACAGAAGGGTGGGTGAGGCAGATGGGTAGACGGGCCTCCCCAGCAGCATATGGACCGACAACCGGACCGATGCACCAGACTGGGTGACACACAGACCAAACAATGCACTGGCGGACGGACTGATGTTCGGACCGAAGTATGGACCCCCAGACGGTTGAGCGTTGAGCCGCTGTGTTGACTGTGACAACCTGAGGCATGTAGCGCGTGATTTTCTGCACCCGCCTTTTCGTCTTTCTGCTCGGAACTTGAAAGTTTTTTTTTTTTTTTTTTTCACCGATTTATGCAATTCTTCGTAGTATACCGAATAAACGAGGAGGTGTTGCTGCAATAGGTCTTGTCTTTGTTTCACTATTTGCTTTACCTTTTATTAACACTTCATATGTACGAAGTTCAACTTTTAGACCCATTCATCAAAAACGTTTTGGGGGATTTGTATTACAATTTTTGCTTTTTGTTTTTGTTCTTGTCCCTAGTTTCAGCTTTTTCTCAAAGGGATTCATAGTTTAGGACAGTTCTCAAATATGGATGCACAATCTGGTCTTCACATTTCTTTCCACATGTCCTTTTTGTAGTCCGCGTTTTTTTACCACGCCTTAGGGCCTCGCCACACAGCACACGAACTGAGCAAAACAGCGAACTCGTTTTGTGTTCAAAGCGCCCCACGGCGAAAATGAAACGAATTCGCAATTGCCCCCTTCGCATCTTGCAAAGTTTTGAGTTGGAACCGTCTTTCGTGAGACCTCGCGAACCACCCGCCAGCAGCCACTTCAAATTCGGGGGTTCTCTTGAAGTTTCCCCGAAAGGACGCTCCTTCGTGCATGAACGGCCATGTCCGTCAGCCATGCTGCATGGCATCCTCTTTTGTGGTATGTTCTGCAGCTCGCCCAGCCACTTCAAATTCGGCTTGGCTCTTTCTCGTGTGATCCGTGTGGCGATGCTGCTAAGAACGAAAACCAAAGCGAATGAACTGGTTCACCAGGAATTGTGACTCCTGAGTTCGTTTCATTTTGTTTTTAAGGCCGTGTGGCGAGGCCCTTGGCAAGCAGGCAAGTTTTTTAATCAGTTGGGTTGCCACTCTGGCATGCACGCACGAGCAATATAGGCACCGCGAACTTGCTTCTAGGGGTGTTTATCTGACAGCTTCACTCGCTTCCTTTCTTCATCTTGTTGAATTATGTCGCCCACGCACACATATTTTGCCCAATCTGTTTTCCTTCCCCCTGCTCCCCTTTTGCGTGTGCCAGCTTAGTCCTTCCCACACATCTTTAGGCGTCCCTTCTTTCTGGCACATTTTACAACTGTCATTCTCCCCTTCCTGTCTCTTTCCCCTTGTCTGATTTGCTAGGTGATCATGGGCATCGGATCAGTGTGTGAGAGTCGAGTTACGCCCCCCATGCCGCAGCCTGGTTCCTTCCTTACTTACGCCTTCCTCTCGCTCCTTCTCCGCCTCACCCACGCCTACTCTTTCCCCGTCCTCCACCACTAGGAAGCACGCAAACAGGATACATGGTCTCTCTCATATGTCAAGGTTATGCCGGATCAGGTAGATCAGGCAGCCTAGATGTTTGTCGAGTGTCCGCAAAGTCCCAGCTGGCGTGGGATCAAGCAGGGTCAAAAGGTCGCTGTGACATCCTGACCAAACGAAGCAAGGTGACAGAACGTTAAGTTCTTTCTTTGCTATGAACACAGAAGTTCTCTGATGGAAGTCAACTTGAGTTGCCTGATTTCATTCTCTCCTCTAAGTGTCAGTCTTCATGTAATGTATGGTTTTGTTTCTTTCTCCCTTACGCTCACACGTGAATGATTGTTCAAGTATCGATGAGTGTGCGCATGGGTTAGTTAGCTGAACGACTGTGTTCTTGGTCTTGTCTAAGTATTGGAAGGTCAACCAGCGTCTGTGTTCTTGGTCTTGCCTAAGTATTGGAAGGTCAACCAGCGTCCAAGCATACCGCTGCCGATAGATAAGGAGGCCGTACTTATCTTAAGAGAACGATGGTCACTCTATGGAAAAGGGTAATACGACCTGTGCAAGAGTGGCGGCGTGCTCTACGACGAGTCAATGGGGCGCCCTACGCGAGGGCCGAAGGCGCGTCTTGAAGGCTAGCAAGCTTTGGGAAATGGTGGACTATATCTTCAACTTTCCTGCCAGCTTACACTAAATGAACGAGTATCCGGGTGAGTTCGATCATACCAGTGTCTTCCCGAACCCTCCTCTGGTTGCCCCGACGTCCCCTAGCCTTCCCTCTTTCCCATATTGCGGCAAGAAAGTTCCCGTGTACGAGTGGGATGTGAGAGAAGCTGACTCTCGGACCTACTGCCCCTGTGTCTATCCGGCTGAAGAGGATTGCGCTGATATGTTTGCAATAGTTCCATGATATTTTATTTCCCTCCTCATTCTGTGCTTTTGCCATTTGACAAGCTCACAGTTATTCCCCGGCCCACTATCGCCAACCACCAGCCTTGTACTTTACGTGAGCATTGCCGACGAGAAAGCTCCTTGCCGCCAAGCACTTCTCTTACTAGCACCGCAGTGAGCGGAGCAACAAACAACAGACAAGGCAACTGTGCCCTTCGCCTTTTGACTCTTATCTCTACAGCGGGTGGGGAAAGGCCATCACCACAGAGCGTGATTGCAGGTATGCCCCCAAGCCTTTCCGCATCAGTAAGCACCATCAGTCAGTCACGAAATCGAATATTTTCTCCAGCTTTGCACCTCATCTGTGCAGACACGAAATCGAATATTTTCTCCAGCTTTGGACCTTATTCATGCACACGCGGAGTCGAGAGCCGACTTTCTTAACCACTACAACCATGGCACAGTGTAACAAAGTGGAACCATACCCGTCCTGATATCCACCCAACCCCTGGATGGCTGTAGTGTCCTTACCATACTCCACACACACGCACACAACACCCCCCAGGCGCGTGTCGAACACTCACTCCATCAAGCACATGATTTCAAACCAGGAGGGCGCACAGCCCCATCTACAATATTCACAATTTCACACCCAACCCCCAACAGCCACCACATCGCTCATGCCGGAAAGCACTGCCGTTCATGTCGGCGACTGAACCCGCGCACATAACGAGCTCCTTCCTAACTCAGTACCATTGGTGGTTGCACCAACCTTTTTCCTTTTTCTTTCCATTTTATTACAATGCGAAGAACCAGCATAAGAGAACACAACAATTTCGAGATGCACACACACACACACACACACACACACACACACACAAGATCAGTCATGAGTAAGCCAAGTTGAAAGGAGGATGACAAAGCCGAGAGCAGACCAATCAGAGTATACACTGAACACTGAAGTCTCCTGACAATGAAAGCCCCCTTCGTGCCTCCAACAATCAGTACAACAACAGAGTAGTAGCCCTAGCTACGATGCGTCAGCCTACGCTATCCTATACAGCCTACACACACTAGCCTACTACCTCTCACTCGCTCTCGAATCTCCTCTCGCCAGATTGCTCCAAAGAGTCTGATCACATAGGTGCTCCACTGTCACAAACCAGGTAAGTATCCACCAGTCCCCACTGCCGCTCTCCTTCCCTGACAAATGCTGCCCCCTCACCACATTGACCCTGCACAATGCTGCGCTCACCCAGCTATGGTAGCGCACGTGCGAGCAGCTACCACTAGGCTGCTGCTTGGGCGCTGCAAGCACTCTCTCAGAGCTGCCGCATCATACTGCCTGGAGCCCTCCATGTTGTCTGCCTTGGCCTCTTCCCTTTTCTACTTTGTCAGGCCGAGGTCTGGGCCTCCAGTAAGCAGTCCCTGTCGACCCGGGTCCTGACTCAGGTACCTGTCCGGCCTGTATACCAACAGAGCCTACTTGGTAGTTACCTGGGCCGGACTGCAAAAGGGACCAGCTGCTTCTCAGGCCGCAGTCTTCACTTAGGGCCGACCTGGACTTGCTTCTGAGGCCTTCCCTTAGGGCCACCAGGCCTGGAGCCTCGCAAAAAAATGTATAATCAATATCTCGGAATTTTTATTTGCTTCGTTATCTGTGTGGTATTGCTTCCTGTGGATCAAGCAGCCTGCTGTCTTCCCCCCAATCGAACATACAGGGATTATCGCTGCATCTGGACTGAAATTTGCCCCAAATACAGCTACAATGACCGCATGTTCTATTTGGGGGAAGACAGTAGCTCGGTTAAGCATGCAAAGTGGCATTCAGGAGGTCATGGGTTCAATCTCTGCCGACTGCCTGGGGCGCACTTGGTGCCAACCAACTGCAATAGTTGACCTGCTCCCCCAAGTCTTAATCATGAGGGGTGTGTGTGTGTCGGGTGCGTTTTAAATTTCCCCCACAAGGGCCACAACAGCCGCTATTCCACCCAGACGAGTAGATTTGAGTTGAGCCAGCTCAACAATTAAAGAAGTTCACCTCTTCAGAAAGCAACATGAATCATAATAGAACCGTTTGGAACTGTGTTTAGCTGGGGTTTCTTCGGGCAACAGCTCCTCTTTTACTATGCCTCGCACGTACAAGGCTGCCCACGTTGATGGTGGTTCAGCGGCAGCTGCCCACATCCCCGAGTGCCTTAACAGCCCACTTGCACGTTATGACAGGAGGCAGAGTAAAGGGGAAGGTATGCTCCTGTGCATTCCACTTCGGATCTTCATACTCCTGTTCATTTCGCTACAGATCTTCAGCTTATACTTAGTCTCTGTGTCTGTCGTTCGTCTTCATACTCCTGTTCATTTCATTTCAGATCTTCAGCTTATCTTTGTCTGTTCTCTTAATGATGCTCATTCGTATGTATTTGCTAGTAGCACATAAGGGGAGGGTGGAGGGAAAGGGATAGAAGGCGGAGTTCTATAGGAGTGTGGGGTAGGGGGAAACGGAGTGCAAAAGGCAGGAGAGAAATATG